CCCTTGCCCAAAGAGCGCCACTCGCATCCTAAAAACCAAAACGCCTAACACCCTTCCACGCACCTACACAGCCGCAAATCAACAAATCACCAACGGCAAACAAACCACCCTCCGACTCCCACTCTTCACTGAAAACGCATGCACAAGCCCTTCCGTCCAGCCGAGCCGGCAAACCACTGCCCACCAATACCAGCTCCCGAACGTATCCTGATTGCCACAAACTTCAACACTTGTCAGCAGCCCGATCCTCCCTCCCGCAGCCCCAACACGCGTTGAAACTGCGATCCAACTGGCAAGGCTGACACCCGCACGGCACCACAGGCCGGCCACCTCTCCTCCAAAATCTACGCCCCAATCCAGCGCTACAAACACAGCTTCTCATTTCCACGCATCCAAACACCTCTTCCACACACCAGCGAACCGGAACACAGCCACACTGTCCAGCTGCGAAGGCCTGCCTCGCAACCCTAACGGCAAAGCGGCTGGAGAGCGAAGCCGTTCCACTTCTCCCGCCCAATGCGCGCCACTCACGTCCTGAACCCCAAAACGCCTAACACCCTTCCACGCACCTACACAGTCGCTAATCAAGAAGTCACCAACGGCAAACAAACCACCATCCGACTCCCACTCTCCGCTGAACATGCAAGCTTACGCACTCTCGTCCAGCCCAATCAGCAAATCACTGCCCACCAACACCAGCTTCAGCACGTATCCTGAGAGCCACAAACTCCGACCCTTTTCAACAGCCCGGTCCTGCTTGCTGTAGCAACTACCCGGCCCTGCTTCCTGCAGCACCAACACGTGCTGCAACTCCAATCCAACTGACAACGCTGACGCCCGCAAGGCACCACAGACCGGCCACCTCTCCTCCAAAACCTATGCTCATTGCCCATTCCAGCGCTACAAACACAGCTGCTTATTTCCACGCATCCAAACACCCCCTTCCACACACCAACAAACCACAACACAACCACACTGCGCTGCTCCGAGGACCTGCCTCAAGACCCAAACGGCAAAGCGGCTGGAAAGCAAAGCCATTCCACTTCTCTCGCCCAATGCGTGTCACTCACCTCCCACAACCAAAACGCCTAACACTTCCACGCACCTACACAGCAGCAAATTAACAAGGCACCAACGGCAAGCAAACCACCCTCCGACTCCCACTCGCCGCTGAATATGCATACCCAAGCCCTTCCGTCCAGCCGAGCCGGCAAATCACTGCCCACCAATCCCAGCTCCAGCACGTATCCTGATAGTCACAAATTCCGCCCCCTTCTCAGCAGCCTGATCCACCTTTCCGCAGCCCCAACATCCGTTAAAACTGCGATCCAACTGGCAACGCTGACACCCGCACGGCACCACAGGCCGGCCACCTCTGCTCGAGAACCTATGACCCGGCGTCCACTCCTGCGCTACAATCACAGCTTCTCATTTGCACGCACCCAAACACCCCCCTCCACACACCAACGAACCACAACATAACCACACTGCGCTGCTCCGAAGGCCTGCCTCAGGACCCAAACGGCAAAGCGGCTGGAAAGCAAAGCCATTCGACTTCCCTTGCCCAAAGAGCGCCACTCGCATCCTAAAAACCAAAACGCCTAACACCCTTCCACGCACCTACACAGCCGCAAATCAACAAATCACCAACGGCAAACAAACCACCCTCCGACTCCCACTCTTCACTGAAAACGCATGCACAAGCCCTTCCGTCCAGCCGAGCCGGCAAACCACTGCCCACCAATACCAGCTCCCGAACGTATCCTGATTGCCACAAACTTCAACACTTGTCAGCAGCCCGATCCTCCCTCCCGCAGCCCCAACACGCGTTGAAACTGCGATCCAACTGGCAAGGCTGACACCCGCACGGCACCACAGGCCGGCCACCTCTCCTCCAAAATCTACGCCCCAATCCAGCGCTACAAACACAGCTTCTCATTTCCACGCATCCAAACACCTCTTCCACACACCAGCGAACCGGAACACAGCCACACTGTCCAGCTGCGAAGGCCTGCCTCGCAACCCTAACGGCAAAGCGGCTGGAGAGCGAAGCCGTTCCACTTCTCCCGCCCAATGCGCGCCACTCACGTCCTGAACCCCAAAACGCCTAACACCCTTCCACGCACCTACACAGTCGCTAATCAAGAAGTCACCAACGGCAAACAAACCACCATCCGACTCCCACTCTCCGCTGAACATGCAAGCTTACGCACTCTCGTCCAGCCCAATCAGCAAATCACTGCCCACCAACACCAGCTTCAGCACGTATCCTGAGAGCCACAAACTCCGACCCTTTTCAACAGCCCGGTCCTGCTTGCTGTAGCAACTACCCGGCCCTGCTTCCTGCAGCACCAACACGTGCTGCAACTCCAATCCAACTGACAACGCTGACGCCCGCAAGGCACCACAGACCGGCCACCTCTCCTCCAAAACCTATGCTCATTGCCCATTCCAGCGCTACAAACACAGCTGCTTATTTCCACGCATCCAAACACCCCCTTCCACACACCAACAAACCACAACACAACCACACTGCGCTGCTCCGAGGACCTGCCTCAAGACCCAAACGGCAAAGCGGCTGGAAAGCAAAGCCATTCCACTTCTCTCGCCCAATGCGTGTCACTCACCTCCTACAACCAAAACGCCTAACACTTCCACGCACCTACACAGCCGCAAATTAACAAGGCACCAACGGCAAGCAAACCACCCTCCGACTCCCACTCGCCGCTGAATATGCATACCCAAGCCCTTCCGTCCAGCCGAGCCGGCAAATCACTGCCCACCAATCCCAGCTCCAGCACGTATCCTGATAGTCACAAATTCCGAACCCTTGTCAGCAGCCCGATTCTCCCTCCCGCAGCCCCAACATCCGTTAAAACTGCGATCCAACTGGCAACGCTGACACCCGCACGGCACCACAGGCCGGCCACCTATGCTCGAAAACCTATGACCCGGCGTCCACTCCTGCGCTACAAACACAGCTTCTCATTTGCACGCACCCAAACACCCCCCTCCATACACCAGCAAACCACAGCACAACCAGACTGCGCAACTGCGAAGGCCTACCTCGCAACCCCAAACGGCAAAGTGGTTGGAAGGCGAAGCCATTCCACTTCTCTCGCCCGATGAGCGCTACTCACTAGCTAAAACCCTAAAGGCGGAACATCCTTCCACGCACCTACACAGCCGCAGATCAACAAGTCAACAACGGCAAACAAACCACCATCCGACTCCCACTCGCCGCTGAGCATGCTTACGCCCTTCTGTTGAGCCGAACGAGCAGATCACTGCCCTCCAACACCGGCTGCAGTACATATCCTGATAGTCACAAATTCCCAAATCTTCTCGACAGCGCAGCCCTGCTTCCTGCAGCACCAACACGCACTGCAACTGCGATCCAACTGACAACGCTGACACCCAAAAGCCTTCACATACAGGCCGCCTCTCCTCAAAAAACCTATGCTCCAGTCCTGCGCTACAAACACAGCTTCTCACTTGCACGCTCCTCAGCGCCCCTCCCCGCACGCCAACAAAGTACAGCGCAGCCACACTGTGCAGCTGCGAAGGCCTGCCTCGCAACCCAAACGGCAAAGCGGCTGGAAAGCGAAGCCATTCCACTTCTCTCGACCAGTACGGGGGACTCACTAGCTAAAACAAAAAGCGCTTAACACCCTTCCACGCACCTACACAGCCGCAAATCAACAAGTCACCAACGGCAAACAAACCACCCTCGGACTCCCACTCGCCGCTGAATATGCATGCCTACTCCCTTCCTTCCAGCCGAACCAGCAAATCACTGCCCACCAACACCAGCTCCAGCACGTATGTTGCTAGTCACAAATTCCGAACCCTTCTAAACAGCCCGGCCCTGCTTCCTGCAGCACCAACACGCACTCCCACTGTGATCCAACTGACAACGCTGACACGCGCAACGCACCACACACCGGCCGCCTCTACTCCAAAAATTATGCCCCACTCCTGCGTTACAAACACAGCTTCTCATTTGCACGCATCCAAACGCCTCCTCCACACACCAGCGAAACACAAGACAGCCACATTGTGCAGCTGCGAAGGCCTACCTCGCAAACTAAACGGCACAGCGGCTGGAACGCTAAGCACTTTCACTTCTCTCGCCCAATGCTCGCCACTTACTAGCTAGACCCCAAAACGCCTAACACCCTTCCACGCAGCTAGACAGCCGCAAATCAACAGGACCAAGCAACCCTCCGACTCCCACTCTCCCCTGAACATGCATGCCTACGCCCATCCGTCCAGCCGACGCAGTCGCTCAATGGCTGCCAACACCAGCTCCAGCACGTATCCTGATTGTCACAAATGCCGAACCCTTCTAAACAGCCCGACCCTGCTTCCTGCAGGACCAACACGCACTGTAACTGCGATCCAATTGGCAACGCCGACACTAGCAACGCACCACAGACCGGCCGCCACTCGACCAAAACGTATGACCTATTCCAGCGCTATAAACGCAGCTTCTCACCTCCACGTATCCAAACGTCCCCTCACACACACTAGCAAACCACAGCACAACCACACGGTGCAACTGCGAAGGCCTGCCTCACAACCCAAACGGCAAAGCGCCTGAAATGCGAAGCCATTCCACTTCTCTCGCCCAATGCGTGCCGCTCACCTCCTGAAAACCAAAACGCCTAACACCCTTCCACGTACCTACACAGCCGCAAATCAACAAGGGACCAACGGCAAACAAACCGCCCTCCGACTCCCACTCGCCGCTTAGCATGCCTACGCCCTCTCGTCCAGCCGAACCAGCAAATCACTGCCCACCAACACCAGCTCCAGCACGTATCCCCATAGTCACAAATTCCGAACACTTCTCAGCAGCCCGGCCCTGCTTCCTGCAGCCCCAACACGCACTGCAACTGCGGTCCAACTCACAAAGCTGACACCCGAAAGGCACCACACATCGGCTGCCTCTCCTCCAAAACCTATGCCCCACTACTGAGCTACAAACACAGCATCTCACGTGAATGAATCAAAACATCCTCCTCACACACACGAACCTCCACACAGCCGCAATGCGCACCTCCGAAGGCCTGCCTCACGACCCCAACGGCAAAGCGGCGAGAAAGCGAAGCCATTCCACTTCTCTCGCCCAATGCGCGCCACTCACATCCTAAAACCCAAAATACCAAGCGCCCTTCCACTCACCTACACAGCCGCAAATCAACAATAATACACCATCCTCCGACTCCCACTCGCCGCTTAACATGCATGCCCAAGCCCTTCCGTCCAGCCGAACCACCAAATCACTGCCAACCAACACCACCTGGAACACGTATCCTGATTGCCATAAATTCCGAACCCTTCTCGCAAACCCCTCCATGCTTGATGCAGCACCAACACGCACCGCAACTGCGATCCAACTCGCAACGCTGACACCCAAAAGGCTCCGCAGACCGGTCGCCTCTCCTCCAATACCTATACCCTACTCCTGCGCTACAAGTACAGATTCTCATTTGCACGCATCCCAACGCCCCCCTACGCAAACCAACAATCCACAACACAACCACGCGGCGCAGCTCCGAAGGCCTGCCTCGCAATCCAAACGGCAAAGCGGCTGAAGAGCGAAGCCATTCCACTTCTCTCGCCCAATGCGCGCAACTCACATCCTAAAACCCAAAATACCTAGCACGCTCCCACGCACGTACACAGCGGCATGTCAACAAGAACACACCACCCTCTGACACCCACTCGCCGCTGAACATGCATGCCTACGCCCTCTCGTCCAGCCGACGCAGTGGCTCACCGGCTGCCAACATCAGCTCCAGCACGTATCCTGATTGTCACAAATTCCGCCTCCCTTCTCAACAGTCCAGCCCTGCTTCCTGCGGCACTAGCCCCAATACAACTGCGATTCGACTGCCAACGCTGACACTCGCAGGGCACCACAGACCGGCCGCCTCTCCTCCAAAACCTATGCCCCACACCTGAGCTACAAACACAGTTCCTCATTTGCAGGCTTCTGAGCGCCCCCCCACACGCGATACCAAGCCACAACACCACCACACTGCGCAGTTCCGAAGGCGTGCCTCGCAATCCAAATGGCAAAGCGGCTGGAAAGCGAAGCCATTCCACCTCCCTCGCCCAATGCGCGCGACCTACATCCTAAAACTCAAAACGCCTAATACCCTTCCACGCACCTACACAGCCGCAAATCAACAAGTCACCAACGGCAAACAAACCGCCCTCCGACTCCCACTCGCCGCTTAGCATGCCTACGCCCTCTCGTCCAGCCGAACCAGCAAATCACTGCCCACCAACACCAGCTCCAGCACGTATCCCCATAGTCACAAATTCCGAACACTTCTCAGCAGCCCGGCCCTGCTTCCTACGGCCCCAACACGCACTGCAACTGCGGTCCAACTCACAAAGCTGACACCCGAAAGGCACCACACATCGGCTGCCTCTCCTCCAAAACCTATGCCCCACTACTGAGCTACAAACACAGCATCTCACGTGAATGAATCAAAACATCCTCCTCACACACACGAACCTCCACACAGCCGCAATGCGCACCTCCGAAGGCCTGCCTCACGACCCCAACGGCAAAGCGGCGAGAAAGCGAAGCCATTCCACTTCTCTCGCCCAATGCGCGCCACTCACATCCTAAAACCCAAAATACCAAGCGCCCTTCCACTCACCTACACAGCCGCAAATCAACAATAATACACCATCCTCCGACTCCCACTCGCCGCTTAACATGCATGCCCAAGCCCTTCCGTCCAGCCGAACCACCAAATCACTGCCAACCAACACCACCTGGAACACGTATCCTGATTGCCATAAATTCCGAACCCTTCTCGCAAACCCCTCCATGCTTGATGCAGCACCAACACGCACCGCAACTGCGATCCAACTCGCAACGCTGACACCCAAAAGGCTCCGCAGACCGGTCGCCTCTCCTCCAATACCTATACCCTACTCCTGCGCTACAAGTACAGATTCTCATTTGCACGCATCCCAACGCCCCCCTACGCAAACCAACAATCCACAACACAACCACGCGGCGCAGCTCCGAAGGCCTGCCTCGCAATCCAAACGGCAAAGCGGCTGGAATGCGAGGCCATTTCACTTCCCTCGCCCATTGCGTGAGACCCACTAGCTAAAACTCAAAACGCCTAACACCCTTTCACAGACCTACACAGCCGCGAACCAACAAGTCACCAACGGCAAACAAACCACCATCCAACTCCCACTCGCCGCTGAACATGCATGGCCAAGCCCTTCCGTCCAGCCGAAGCAGTGGCTCACTGCCTGCTAGCACCAGCTCCAGCACGTATCCTGATTGTCACAAATTCCGAACCCTTTTCAACAGCCCGGCCCTGCTTCCTGCAGTACCAACACGTGCTGCAACTCCAATCCAACTCACAACGCCCACACCCGCAAGGCACCACAGACCGGCCACCTCTCCTCCAAAGCCTATGCCTCACCTCTGAGCTACAAACACAGCTTCTCATGTGCTTGCTTCCAACAGCCTCCTCCACACACCAGCTAACCACAACGCAACCTCACTGTGGAGCTGCGAAGACCTGCCGCGCAACCCAAACAACAAGGTGGCTGGAAAGCGAAGATATTCCACTTCCCTCGCCCAATGCGTGCCACTCACCAGCTAAAATCCTAAAAGCGGAACACCAGTTCACAGGCCTACACACCCGCAAATCAACAAGTCAGCAACGGAAAACAAACCAACCTCCGACTCCCACTCGCCGCTTAGCATGCCTACGCCCTTCCGTCCAGCCGAACCAGCAAATCACTGCCCACCAACACCAGCTCCAGCACGTATCCTGATTATCACAAATTCCTAACCCTTCTCAACAGCCCGGCCTTGCTTCCTGCAGCACCAAGACGCGCTGCAACTGCGATCCAACAACTGACAACGCTCACACCCGCAAGCCTCCACACACCGGCCACCTCTCCTCAAAAACCTATGCCCCACACCTGCGCTACAAACACAGCTTCTCATTTGCACGGATCCAAACACCTCCTCCCACACACCAGCGAAGCACTACACAACCGCACGGTGCAGCTGCGACGGCCTGCCTCCCAGCCCAAACGGCAAAACGGCTAGAAAGCGAAGCCATTCCACTTCTCTCGTCCAATGTGCGCGACCTACATCCTAAAACCCAAAACGCCTATCATCCTTCCACGCACCTACACAGCCGCAAATCAACAAGTCACCAACGGCGAACAAATCACTCTTAAACTCCCACTCGCCGATGGAAATGCACGCCTGAGCACTTCCACAGCAAATCACTGTCCACCAACACCAGCTCCAGCATGTATCCTGATTGTCACAAATTCCGAACCCTTCTCAACAGCCCGGTCCTGCTTCCTGCAGCGGCAACATGCACTGCAACTGGGATGCAACTGTCAAGGCTGACAGTCGGAAGGCGCCACACGCCGGCCACCTCTTCTCCAAAACCTATGCCCTACTCCTGCGCTACAGACACAGCTTCTCATTTCCACGCATGGGGGCGGCTTCCATCACACACCAGCGAACCACAACACAACCACATTGCGCAGCTGCACAGGCCAAACGACAACACAAACGACAAACCGGGGGGGAAAAACGAAGCCATTTCACTTCTCTCGCCCAATGCGCGCCACTCACCTCCTAAAACCCAAAACACCAAACACCCTTCCACAGACCTACACAGCCGCAAATCAACAAGTCACCAACGGCAAACAAACCACCCTCCGACTCCCACGCTCCGCTAAGCATGCCAACGCCCTCCCATCCAGCCGAACCAGCAAATCACTGTCCATCAACATCAGCTCCAGCACGTGTCATGCATGCCCAAGCCCTGCCGAACCAGCAAACCACTGCACACCAACACCAGCTCCCGCACGTATCCTGATTGTCACAAACTCCGAACCCTTCTCAACAGCGCAGTCCTGCTTGCTGCAGCCCCAACACGCACTGCAACTGCGATCCAACTGACAACGCTGATACCCAAAAGGCTCCACAGACCGGCCGCCTCTCCTCCAATACCTGTATCCCACTCCGGCGCTACAAACACAGCTTCTCACTTGCACACATCCGAACGCCCTCCTACGCAAACCAACAAACCACAACACAACCACACTGCGCAGCTGCGAAGGTCTGCCTCGCAACCGCAAACGGCAAAGCGGCTGGAAAACTCCACCATTCCACTTCCCTCGCCCAATGCACGCCACTCACCAGCTAAAATCCCAAACGCGGAACACCCTTCCACGCACCTACACACCTGCAAATCAACAAGGCACCAACGGCAAACAAACCACCCTCCAACTCCCACTCGCAGCTGAACATGCATACCCAAGCCCTTCCGTCCAGCCGAACCACCAAATCACTGCCCACCAGCAACCTCCAACACGTATCCTGATTGTCACAAAATCCGGACCCTTCTCAAAAGCCCGGCCCTGCTTCCTGCAGCGCCAACACGCACTGCAACTGCGATCCGACTGACAACGCCCACACCCCCAAGGCACCACAGACCGGCCGCCTCTCCTCCAAAACCTGTGCTCCACTCCCGCGCTACAAACACAGCTTGTCATTTCCACGCATCCAAATACTCCCTTCCACACACCAGCGAACCACAACACAACCACACTGTGCACCTGCAAAGGCCTGCCTCGCAATCCCAACGCAAAAGTGGCTGGAGAGCGAAGCCATTCCACTTCTCTCGTCAACTCCGCGCCACACACTAGCTAAATCCCAAAACAACAAACACCCTTCCACAGATCTACACACCCGCAAATCAACAAGTCACCAACGGCAAGCAAACCACCCTCCGAGTCCCACTCTCCGCTGAGCATGCATGCCCAAGCCCTTCCGTTCAGCCGAACCGCCAAATCACTGCCCAGCAACATCAGCTCCAGCACGTACCCTGATTGCCACAAATTCCGAACCCTTCTCAGCAGCCCGATCCTGCTTCCTGCAGCCCCAACACGCAGTGCAACTACGACTCAACTGACAACGCTCAAACCCGCAAGGCACCACAAACAGGCCGTCTCTCCTCCAAAACCTATGCCCCACTCCTGCACTACAAACACAGCTCCTCA